ATGCTCAGAACAAGGCTAGAACATAATAGAAACTCATTAAATACTCATTGACGAACTATTTAAGATGCATTGAGTAAGTATTGTGGATGGCAAGAAATAGATCACTATTCATTGACGATCTAGACCCTAGAAGCACTGGAACAATCCACGGGGCTACAAAAGCAGATACCTACACTTCATCCCATCATCCGGGAAGTTAGGTAAAGGAATGCAACAAAAGTTTTTAATTACCAGGGAGAGCTGAGTAATTTTTTTTTCTTTCTGAAAAATGGGTGGTAGGAAAGCTTCTTGTTTAAAAAACAAACAGAAACTGAGATTTATCTTAAAGGACTCAGAGGAAGAATGGGAAACATATGGTAGGCTGTAAGAAAATGCAAACAAAACTAGGAATGAGCATGCTAAGTATGAGCATGTACTACGTATTGTTCAGAGATGTGAAATTTGCCTTCTGAACGTGAGGAAGGCATTAAGACTTTTTACAGCTATTGAACAACATGGAGAAAATTTTAAATTTTCAAATTTAATCTTGCAGGGAAACTGAGTTGATAGCAAGGGAGAATAGAAATGAAGACAAATTATAAAGTTGTCTTAGATTAGCAATATAACAATAGAGAAAAGGAAAAGGTCAATATAATTGTAAAAAGGATCATGACTCAGTTAGTGCAAAAATCACTAGTGATGTTTACTGATATTCGTGACGTTTGGGATTACTTCTGAAGAACAAAGTAGGATTTCAGAAGGAAAACCACCTTTTCATTTAGGGTGAAATGAGTCGGTGTACTAAGTGCCACTTCAAATGGAAGCATTTAAGAAAATATGTGTGGCTCTCCAGTTTTTTTCTTCTCCATTCCATGCTGTCTAAACACATTACAAATATTTAGCCTGAGCTTTAAAATAGGCATGAATATAAACATGAGAAGAAAAAAAGAACAACTTCAGTTATTTTAAACCTCTTGACACGTGTCTCGGATAGAAATTCCTACAGAAGGCAAGTCACAGGAGAGCAGAGACAAAAATATCAGCTAGTCCCTACAAATGAATCTCCTAGAAAAGGGCTGTGGACCCTGGTGTTTCTGTAACGCTGTTAAATAACTGTGCTAAGGTTTACCAAGAAACACCAGTCTTCTCACTGCTCAGTCCCTGCTTGCTAAGCATACGGGAGAACACTTTGGCCGCCTCGTCTGAGCATAAGGAGCCCTGATGGTGCCGTGGGCGGGCGTGGGGCTGCTAACCACAGGGTCAGCACCTGCCACTCCTGGGGAGGACGCTGTCTGCTCCCGTATCGGAACACTCGGGAGCATTTCTACTCCGTCCTATAAACCCCAAACCAAACTCATCGCCACCGAATCGATTTCGACTCAGAGCCGCCCTTATATGGCACTGTGAGTTTCCGAGTTTCGAACAACTGACCTTGAAGTTAGCGGAGCAACATGTAACCACTACGCCATCAGGACACCTGCGCTCTGTCTTCTGGGAATCGCTACATAATAGAATGGAGTTAATGGCAGAGGGGCTTGGCTTAGGGTTTGTAGGAGAAACGTCTGAATTCGGGCGGGGACCAGAAACGAAGCCCACACGTAGTGGAAGGGTGCGGAGGATGGGAAGACCGGCGGGGAAGGAG